TGTGTCTCCCCTTGTGTCTCCCCATGTGTCTCTGTGTCTCTGTGCGTGACCACTCCCCGTGTGTCTCCCTGTGTGTCTCCCCGTGTATCTCCCCGTGTGTCTCCCTGTGTGTCTCTGTGTCTCTGTGCGTGACCACTCCCCGTGTGTCTCCCCTTGTGTCTCCCTGTGTGTCTCCGTGTCTCTGTGCGTGACCACTCCCCGTGTGTCTCCCTGTGTGTCTCCCCGTGTGTCTCCCTGTGTGTCTCCCTGTGTGTCTCCGTGTCTCTGTGCGTGACCACTCCCCGTGTCTCCCTGTGTCTCCCCTGTCTCCCTGTGTGTCTCCATGTCTCTGTGCGTGACCACTTCCCGTGTGTCTCCCCGTGTCTCCCCGTGTCTCCCTGTGTCTCCCTGTGTGTCTCTGTGCGTGACCACTCCCTGTGTGTCTCCCTGTGTCTCCCGTGTGTCTCCCTGTGTGCCCGCTCCCTGTGTGTCTCACCGCATGCCCGCTCCCTGTATGACTCACCGTGTGCCCGCTTGTCCCCTCTCCCCGCAGTGTGGCATTGTCCTGGGGGCACTGCTCCTGGTTTTCTGCTCCTGGATGACGCATCAGTCCTGCATGTTCCTGGTGAAGGCCGCCAGCCTGAGCAAGAGAAGGACCTACGCCGGCCTGGGTGAGGCATGCGCGGCTGGGGCTGGCCTTACCCAGGCTCTTTCTTAGCAAAGCTGCCTTGCAGATCTGGGGGTTTGGGCTTCACCCCTTTTAAAAAACCGAACTCACTGCCATCGAGTCGGATCTGGGTTTCTGAGGTGGTATTACTACAGAGATCACCCAACCTTCCTTCCGAGGGGTGGCTGGTGGGTTTGAACGGACAGCCTTCTGGTTAGCACTCAAGTGCCTTAGGCACTGTGTCACCAGAGCTCCCATATAGATGTGGTTGTTGTTGTTATGTGCCATTGAGTTGGCCCCGACTCATAGCAACCCCTCCTTGGGTTTCCGAGGCAGTATCACTATGGAAGTAGATTGCCCAACCTTCCTTCCGAGGAGTGGCTGGTGGGTT